CAAGAGGAAGGGAGAAGGGGAACCGGCAGCAGGGATGTCTGAGGAGAAGGTGAAGGCCTTCTGTACTTAGAGGGCACCTCTCTGTAAAGGTATTACAAAAGGTATTTCTTAAAAGGTGAAGATTGCCTTCATGTATGTGATTGCTTCAAGGGTGCCCTAAAATAAAGATCACATATAAACTGGCTGTACATGCCAGGTACAATCTAGGTGTTTGTCAACAAAACAGATGTAGTTAAAAATGCTGTCATGAAAACAAATAGCATCACCTGAATTTTCCAAATGAAAATATGGATAGACTTTTACTCACAGGGCAGCTTCTGTTGAACTAAATATTCCTGACAAAACAAAAACCTTGACAATGAAAGCATAAACACACGCGGACTTACCTCCAAAGATTTAAGGAACGGCAGCGATTCAATGAAGCTTTCATACATTTTTCTCTTTTTGGCATTGTTTTTTACAATGATTCTCCTGAAGGTTACCCTGTCCTGCAGGCAGAAAATCAAAATATAAAGACAATTAAAAGGTAAGAGTTTTATACAGCGGAGGTGGGGGGGCCTATCTGTTTGAACATGCAGTTTGATTTTATCTACTATCAGGAACAAACCGTAATTGAATGTTTTGAAATAAAAGATTAATATATTGTCCCTTCAAGGCAACTCATTTCAGATTTTTATTTCTTCAAGCATAAAACACAACATCTCCCTCAAAACTCTCTGCCACTAGTCAATTCCAACCGAGTGATCCTATAAGCAAAATCGAACTAACGCTTGGGGTTCCGAAGATGTAAATCTTTATTGGAGCAGAAACCTTCATCTTTCCACCACACAGTGGCTGGTGGGTTCAAATTGCAGTTAGCAGCCCAATGCCTAACGCACTGTAGAGCCAAATACATTTTAAAAACGAAAAGGATGCAATGGTTTGCTAAGAAAATTCAATCACTGTGCAATTGAACTATGTAACCACAAGAGGATGCTGTTTCACCACTCTTATAGCCAAACCCAACCCATTGGATTCCAATTCCTAGGGAGTGACCCTTATAAGAGAAAGCAGACCTGCTCTGTAACACACCGCCCCATCAGGGATCCATAGATACATCAAAACAAAATAACCCCTGCCTACAACGACCCTGTAGGACAGAGCAGAGAGAACTCCTTAAGGCTTTTGAGACAAAATCTTTTTTTTAAATCGTTTTATTAGGGGCTCATACGACTCTTATCACAATCCATACATACATCAATTGTGTAAAGCACATTTGTACATTCGTTGCCCTCATCATTGTCAAAACATTTGCTCTCCA